TTACATTATTCGGACTATTGTCCTCATCTTTTTCGCCATATTTATCACAACGTTTCGGCCGTTGTACACTCCGGCCTTCTTCAAGTGGTTGGAATGTCTACCCCGGTGAGCGAAAAGGGTTCAGTTCGACATTCCAACCACCTGAAGAAGGCCGGAGTGTATAAATGCCGAAACGTTGTGATAAATATGGCAACAAAGATGAGAACAATAGTCCAAATAATGTAAATAATGAAAATTACAAGGTTAAAATTTAAAACTGTTCTTGCAGACTCTTGTATCCTAAAAGCTTTTTCTAGTTTTAACATTTTTTTTTCCATGATGTATGTATTTAATTTAATATCTGAAGGTCAAGTCGTCAGTCGAGGATTCTATTATAAATTTGAAATTGTGTTGTAGCCTCTTTGTAATAAAGAACCACTAAACATTTCCTTCACTTATTCTTTGTGGTTTTTCACAAGACTGTCTGATAAAAGTTAATTTTAAAAACATATATACGGATTGTTCATGGAGGAAAGCTCATCTTCTCTATGATAACCATTTATAGAAAACAGTATTTATTAAGCTAATCCGACAGGGTTTCGAACCTGTGTTACTCTGGACAGAGGAAGCTGCCGTTACATTTGGCACACTCTGACCGACTAAGCTCTGGCCAACTAAGTTTTTTCTGTTTTTCTCAGTCGGTCAGAGCATGTCGAATGTAACGGCAGCTCCTTCTGCCCAAAGGACGCAAGTTTGAATCCTATTGGTGAGCAGATATTCTTTCGTTAATAGGGTTTCTCGAATATTCAGGCCGGTAGACGAAAATAAATAAATACTCTGTTCAATAAATAAACGGATCGGCTACTCAAATATATGTATCCACTAAAAATAACGTTTAAAATGATACAAAATCTGTCGAATTAATCAAAATCTATTACTTCGTTAGAAAATAACAGAATGTTAAACTACACGAGTCCAAATAATTCATTCATAAAACACACAACTTGCTTTGGAACAGAATCCTTAATAAATATAACATTTTACTCGATTCTGACCATCAGGTTTTTCCTGGCTTGAATTACACACTACATACCGTTTCCTCTATGATTTCAAAAAGTGTTTCTCGGCAACAAAAATCTAGAAATATTGGTACTGTCTATGATTGATCGATTTGAATGTTTAACGGCACACCAACACGTTTATGGGTCATTTAATGCCGAAATTTTTATTTTCTTGGGAACTTTGAAGTAATGAAAATAATTTATATATTATTCTGCTTTCAAAGTTGAATACTTGGTAGATGATACTCAGCTTTTGTGCATATACATGTTTGTGTGGACGTAATTACTAGAGGCGGTGATATGTGTATTTTATGTTGTAGTTTTGTTGAAGTTATATTTTGCAATACATTTTGAATTAAGAACTTGTATATTATATGGCTTAATGGCTTGAAAGTTCTTTTATGTTTGTTTGGTAGAATTTTAAGCAGAAGTCGCTACGACTTTTTAGTATGTGCGTATCGTTGGTAATTTTACTATAGAAATGTATTTGTTTTTACTTTTATAGTGTTTTGTATTTGTTTAGGGGATTTTCTAAATGGCCTTAGATGGGACCCTAACAAGTGCTACCACCCTGTGTCAGGGTTAACCTGGGAACAATAATTAACATGTGGTTCCATGCTCCTCAAAATCTTCCATTTCCCGATCAAAAGCCTTGATGTCGAATATATAATTTCTGTTGACTCTTGAGTAATTTGCTTGCTTAACGGCATATCAACTCTTTGTGGGTCATTTAATGCCGAAATGTAATTTTCTTGGGAACTTTGAAGCAATAGAAATATTTATGTTATCTGCGTTCACAGTTGAATACATGGTAGATGATACAAAGCTTTGGTGCATATACGTGTTTGTGTGGACATAATTACTAGAGGCGGTGATATATGTATTTTATGTTGTAGATCTGTTGAAGTTATATTTTGCAATACATTTTGAATTAAGAACTTGTATATTATATGGCTTAATGGCTTGAAAGTTCTTTTATGTTTGTTTGGTAGAATTTTAAGCAGAAGTCGCTACGACTTTTTAGTATGTGCGTATCGTTGGTAATTTTACTATAGAAATGTATTTGTTTTTACTTTCATAGTGTTTTGTTTTTATTTACGGGATTCTTTAAATGCCCATAGATGGGACCCTAACAGGTGCTACCACCCTGTGTCAGGGTTAACCTGGGAACAGCAATTAAGATGTGGTACCACGCTCCTCAAAATCTCCTCTTTCCCGATCAAAAGCCTTGATGTCGGATATATGATTTCTGTTGACTCTTATTGAGTAATTTGTTTGCTTAACGGCATATCAACTCCTTATGGGTCATTTAATGCTGAAATTTAATTTTCTTGGGATCTTTGAAGTAATAAAAAATATGATATATGTTATTTGCTTTCACAATTGAAAACATGGTAGATGATACTAAGATTTGGTGCATATACATGTTTTTGTGAACATGATTACTAAAGACATTAATATGTATGTTTCCCGATTAGAAGCCTTGCTGCATGATTTAGTTTATCGTCAGACCCACGATGATTCTGTCTATGTAAATTAAACATGAACTATCTGAACATGCCAAGGTTATTTTACTCAATTTCAATTAGGAAAGATTTACTCGAAGTTTCCTTTGGACGTTCATGTTTATTGTTTATTAATGAAATTCTGCAGACTGTAGTAAAGCAAAAGTCTTAGCAAGTCTACCGAGATTTAGCAAGAGAGTTCAAGTGAAAAATCCACTTCTATCGTAAAACACTTTTATAATTTGAACTAGAAAAAGTGTTTCACTATACTCAATTGCTCTTTCGTCATCTGACTGCTTATTAGCTCAATAAAAACTTGCTGTCATTGAAGTTTAAACATCCATTTAGTGGATAGAATCAACACTACTAATGAAAAGCATGCCTTCTTTAATCGTCTCCAATGAATTAAGCAATGGTTAGCTCGCACTGTGAAAGGAGAATCCTTCTACAAGCCAGAACGATGTCCGTAATTAATTACTGTCTGTGTAGGATGTGAAGCGTGTTGTCAAAAAGTAAGTGCTAAACTAGAGCGTAACAATTATTGCGGTGAAACAGTGACACCGATTGAGAGCATTCAGCGAAAAATGGCAGAAAGTGTCCATCAAAGTTTAATTATAAGAGCGTGTGGCTCTTATTTCATCTGAGTCCGACAAAATATGGACGTTTTCCATTTCCTGTCTATTTGGTCTTGATCCATCTTTACAGGCCATTGCAAAGATTTTTAATGGGAGAATAGTTTATTTTCGAAGTGGTTAAAAATCATATTAATAGTTTCTTTGCAAAGAAAACTGGACATTATCTGACCACCGGGATTATATTGGTGGTAATGAGGGACACATTGTGGCGGTGTAATGGTTTTCAAGCTTGTCTCGCTAGAACAATTACGACAGAGCAGTGAGTTCGATCCTCACTGGGTGCCCCCTACATCCAGCCTTGTGCCACATCAAGGCTACGCTTAGAAAATCACTATATTATTGGTAATGAGAGAAAATATAAATTCAATTGTTTTTAATGGTTTATCATCCTTTTGCGGGTTATTTAAAGCCAGAAAATATGTTAAGCGTGTAAGAATGTCTTTGGAGATAATAATGATTTACTGATACAAGTGCTACTAATTAACCCATACGGGAGGGGGGAAGAAGTAGATACATAACGTTTCCAAGATTATTTGCGTGTAAATGAATATAACGAAACTTGACTGGAATTGGAAATCCGTTCTCCGATTTCGAATTCCGTGCCGTTATCCATTACACCACCCGCACATCCAAGCTTGCAGCACCTGGTATTCCTAAGCGGCCATTCAAAATAGATGAACTGTCTGTTGTGATCCATTTCCACCTTAACCGTTATAAAACCGGTTGGTTATTCTTACCACAGTAAGCTTTATGTTGGGACATACTTGTCAGGAAAGCTTAAATCCGCTTTTTGCAACGGCAATTCTTGACCGACTATTTCTTGTCTATGATGACCAGGGTTGACGTTGCTTAACTTTTTTGATCGGATGAGAACGGGTGTTTCAAAGGGATATGAACGTAAACCCGTTATCATTGGCCAGATCTAAGTATAATAGTGACAAGTAATCCGTCATAGAATGTCTGTCTTCCCCCAGGCATTCTGGAGAATAAACATTAAAATAAATTAATAAATACCACGATTGCTGATAAGAAGAGGTCACTCATCTAGGTATTGACAAAGTTCGACGTTGTTTAACTTCGGTAATCATACGGGCATTTCAACGTGATATGGCCGTAAGACGCGGGCATATTATCTTGAATAAATATATCAAATAAAACCGTAGAAGTATATGTTGCTCTTTCAACTTAAAAAGAGGTAACAATTTTTTTCCGACCTAATAGTTTATGTAAACATTTGTAGCTAAGACATTCTAAGGACAGAAGTAGGAATCCTGTTAAAAGTCAATATACCAATACTGTTGGTCAAAGTAGTAAGCACACACTTATAAGATTGTCAGATTGCCACTTTTGTGTTTTCAATAAATCCATATTCTATATCTGTCAGACTAATCTATGTAAATATTTAGAACTTTTTTAAGATTTAAGTGACATTTGGTATTATTTGAAATCATATGTTTATTTGAATAATTATTCTCTTTTTAAATGCCATATATCTTCAGGATACAGGCGATCATGGCTCTCCAAATCTGTTTTTGCCGTAGACTGTACGTTTCCATGATTGTCTTGGATGAATTGATTGATACGATTTTTTATGGCTTATCAGCTCTTTGCCTGTTATTTAAAGCCAGAAAATATTTTTACATTGTAAACATTTTTTTTTAGGTAATAATGATTTTAGTGATACACTCCTACTAATTAACCAATAGCTGGGGTGGGGTGGGAGGATAGAAGTGAATTCATACCTTTCGCAAGAGTATTGACGAGAACTGGAACACGGTTCTCCGCTTAACAAATCTGTTAAACTATTCGCACACCCAAACTTACAGCAACTGGTATTTCCAAGCGGTCACCCGTCGACGTACTGACCAGGCTCGATGTTGCTTAACTCTGGTGATCGTACGAGAACTGGTGTTTCACCGTGATGTGACCTTAAGCTGTCATAGGAAAGATAGCAGAGTGGTTTCCTGTTGCCTTCCCTAACGTTTTGAAATCAGAATTTTCTGCCCTGTTATGGCAAGAACTGTAGTGCAAATTGTACAGCCTCTGCCCGAACTGGAAAACGGATCATCGTTTCCTTTTTTAGCATCTATAACCGTTGCGGTACAAATAAAATCGCATCAAAATTTCTGTAAAAGAAAATCTAATTGATTATATAATTGATTTAATAAAAAGAAATATGGGTTATTAGGGTGAAAAATGTATAGAAAGTGCACTAATTTCTGAATTTTCGAACAAGGGTAATACCGCACAAGTATATGTAAAAGAAAATAAAGTAATAACTCGAAAAGTTCAAATGTGTTAAAAAGGAATAACAATATTTTATATCTGGTTGCTGAATACAGGACTGCGTCTTTTTCCTAAAACGCTAACATGGATTGGTGACACTTTATGTTTGTTAGGCGAGTATTAACATCTTAAGTTGTTTTTTCTTTAAGAAACTGGTTCTTGGTGTATCTTCAGGCGATATTCGTAAAACTTGTTTTGGTGGTGTGAGTCTAAGTCGTTCTTCAAAAATAAATTGTTCTTGGTTAGAAGTTGAGGTCGTGATTGCGTGGGTCTTAAGTCAGCTTTCTGCGAGGCGGGTCTTCTTAACCGAATCCCATCTGGAGTTCATCAATCGAGACTTTTCGCCAGCATCAAGTGGGTGGTCATCTGGCGACTTCGCACCCTGGTGCCAATTATTCGTTCTGATAAAATAATTTTGCTATCATGGCCAGCTCTTGACATGAAACAGGTGCCTTTTCAAAATGATATTTCCGCAGATAGTTAAAGGTTTAATCTTTCCTTCCTTGTACTCTGCGGGTGGTCCAGCGGACATTTTTCGCGGTCAGTGCATGACCTAATTAATATTATCTCTTAGGACTCTGTTCCGTAGGCTACTCGACCAATCTGAAATTTTCATTATCGCCATGGGTATACGGCTGTATTTTATTCGGTGTGTCGTCATAAATCAAATTAAACCCGGCAGAACCGAGATCTTACTTTCTTCGCTAATGAAAATAAAATCTTTACCACTTTTCCTTGTTAGAAAAAAATAACATTGTTCAGTGTCTTTTCGTGATAGATTCTTATCACCTAATTTAATTCTCGCCTTTTTTTTTACTTTTTTCACGCAACTCTAAATAGTGTCACACCAGCCATATATTTTTGAGGAATAATATTACCAGTAATACATTTTTAAAGGAAAATATATTACCTGCAATTACAAGCAGTAAAAATATTGCCGGCATTAAATAAGCCGTTAAGGTTGGTAAACCATAAAACAAAACAAAACGAACAAAAAATATTTAGTCTGAAGATATCCTTTTGAAGGACGAAACGCGTAACATAAACTTTTTATCCAATTTTTTATTCAGTTACCCAGAATTAAACTGGTATGTTATTAGACAACTATTTAATATTTATTCCTTTTATACATAATTTTAGTACATGTTCCGTTTTCTAAAGAAACAGTATTAATTAGTTTTACCAAATTGGATGTTCCCGAAATTTAGTAAAAAATATGCGTTCTCCGACAGGAATCGAACCTACGTTCTATACTGAACCATCAATTGAACTAACGTGCAATACAACTCAGCTAACCCTAACGCTTATCTTTAGCAGATTACTATAGCATGATATTGTTATAGTTCGATTCCTGTCGGAGAACGCATATTTTCTACGAAATTTCTCGAACATTCTGGCCGGTAAATGTAATTAATACTGTTTATTTAAAACACGGAACATTTGCTTAAATAAATTTTATCTATTTAAAATAAAGGATAAACATAAAATATATTAAATTATTGGCGGACTTAATATATTTCACCGTCCTGGGTATGATGATAAATTACATCCGCGTCCAGGGTAAGACGATAAACTACTTCCAACAGCAAGGCCGCTGATCAGGAGGTTTTGAGAAGTGTAGAACCACCTCTTAATTGCTGGTGTTCCCAGGTCCACTCCGACCCGTGGTGGTAGCACCTGTTAGGGTCCCAGCTATGGGCAAAGAGTTAACCCCCGAAACTGAGGTAAAAAGCATTATAAAAGTGTAAAAATAGGTTTTAATACCAGAAATACTTTGTAAAAAAAATATTACCAGAAATAAATTTTTGAAGAAAAAACTATTACCAGCAATACGTTTTTGAAAAAAAATATTATCAGCAATACATTTTTTAAAATAATATTACCAGCAATATATTTTTGAGGAAAAAATATTACCAGAAATTGGTTTTTGACAAAACAAAAATATTACCCGGAAAAAAAAAAGTTGTCGGCATTAAATAATCCATTGAGTTTTATATGCCGTAAAACAAACCAAACCAAACTTTAATATATTTCATAATATAACTATGTTTAAAAAACAACGTAATCCTGATAAATAATATCTAAGAAATTTAAAAAAATATATACTGAACTGCATTTATCGTTTGTAATTTCTTTGTCTGTATAAAACTAATATGTAAATTCTGTCTGAATTTTTGAGATGACGATTTAACATTAAGGCCTGAAAGCACAACAGTCGAAACGTTGCGATAACAAGGACAAAAATGAGGCAAATAGTCAGCATGTAAATAAATCTATAAATCTATTTGAGCACTTTTATTAACACTCTTGTATTAACGGTTCGTTTTTCTTCCAATCAACGTTTTGCTAGTGGTTCATATTATAAGATTCATCCAAATCTGTGGTTTAGTTAACTAAAGCCCCATTTTTTTCCCCTGTGCTTTCTTCATGGTTATTTCCCGACAGCGCAGTATTAGTAACTGGTTTTTGAAAATACCAGAGATACAAACTTTGCAGAACGACTGAACTCCGCCAGAAAGTCAAAAAGAAAGCAGAAGAAAAACCGCATTAATAAAAGATGACCCCCCTCAAGGAAATTTAGGTGAGAAATGATAACAAACGGAAAGAGAAGAAAAGAAAACAGTTTAAAAAAAACAAACAAATAAAACAAGAAAAAAACAAACGAAACTGAGCAGACGATTATCAGAAACAAGTCAAATGAAAAACGAAAGGAAATAAAAAAAAAATAGTTTTTATTTGCTACTGAAAAACGAAACAGTTAAAATTACCCGAAGGAGGGGAAGGAAATTTGTAGCCATAACATTTCAATATTCAATCGACACTGACAATCGCCTCCAGCGGTATACATGAAGAGACATTTTGTTTCATTTCCTCTTAATCTTTGAGGATTTCTTTCATTTTCTCCCACCTCTTTCTTATCCGGCTTTTAAAAATTCTTCTTTTTTGTTACTGTGGTGTCATTATAACAACGATTGTATTCATTATGAATGTTATTTCTTTCAATGTTATTGATTTTCCTGAGCAGTAGTCATATCCATCTTGCGAGAAATGATGTCAATAATTTTCTAATTGTTGGCATGCGTAGTTTCTTTGTTACTATTTTCATTACCTTGGCTATGAAAAAAAAATACCCACAAAAAACGGGGATTTCATTGGTCAAAAATCTTTTTCCTTTTGCATTGGTTCCCCTCAACAAAAAAACAAAAACTATTGGTTAATTATTTACACTGAATAAATTAACACTCTGAAGTTGGCAATAGTTAAAATGTTAATTCTAATTCGTTTTTCAAAATGTCATCTCTCTTCAGGTAAAAGGTGACCATTGCATGACACAGATTCCTTCTTTTTTTTTATCAGTGAACTGCCACGTCTTCTCCATGATATTGATTAGCTAACACACAAAGCGAAAGAGTCAATTCTACCTTGCTCTTTATCCGATAAAGTATAGAAGACATGTCTAATTCCATATTTCTGCATGTTTTTCCCTTCAGGAAAATAACATTGGATCACACACGCTGGAGTTAGTAATGATTAAAACACGTAATACTAACTTTATTTTAAATTCCACATCTCTTCATTGCACAAGTGATCATAACTCTTGATATATACTTTTAATTATTGGTTTCCAGTTGTCTTCGCCACGGATTTTAATTCAGAGTAATCATTCCCCTAGACAGACTACTCGTTAAGTTTATTGAGTCTAGTCTACTCTGATATTTAACCCATAGTTTGGAGAAAATGTATCTACCCTACTATTTAATCAATAGCTGAGCGAGGACTTGCCGACGTTGCTATTTGATCTATATACTTATGTGGAGGATTGGAAAGTGATGTGTTCATGCCTATCGCGATGATAATAGTAGAACAGTGAACACAGCATATTAGACCAGAATTTGATCCTGTCTCGCTGAGTTAGCGAGCTGATAACTGTTGCTTTACACAAACGCCTATTGTTGAGGCCATGAAATACTGACTTGCAAACAGACACACGAATACCCACAACGGCAAACCTCCAGTATATAGTGATTTTCCAAGCGTAGCTTAGATGTGGCACCAGGCCGAAAGTAGGAGACACCCAGTGAGGATCGAACTCACTACTCAGTCGTAATTGTTCTAGCGAGACAAACTTTCTGACCATTACACCGCCTCGAGGTGCCCAAACCTCCAGTATATATACACGTATGGGCAACGCAAATTAATTGACAGTCAATTAAATCTACAATATAAAACATAATGTAAATTTATATATTTGTCGATAAACACAGTTTTATCTCGATTCCTAGTAACAATATACTCAATTGATATATTAACACGAGATATTACTCGATGACGCCATCGAACGCCATAACAACGAAATATTTCATTATTTCATTTTCATTTTCTGGGTTTCATGTTAACTTTCTGGTTACTTTTAATTTCAGTCATTTGAAAAACAGATTTTGTTTTCGTTACATCCGAATGCAGAATTAATTACAGAGATTAAACTTTTAAATTATTTTTGCTAGAAATATAAGGAAGGTAGAATAACAGATATCTTTATCATTTTTTCATCAAATAATTAAATACGTACAAAGAAGAAACAGTATTATAAATATTATGTTTGAACAATTGTTGAACGAACTTTTGGAGTTGACAAGATTTCT